TATTAAAGATGGAAATGGAGATAATAAATTTGTAATTACTGTAACCCCTCATAAACTCATTTGTCCTAAAGGTAAAACATAACCCATAAATGCTGTTCCCATTAAGAAGAAGCAAATAATAATTCCAGAAAACCAAGTTTTTGGATTATAAAAATATGAAGCATAAGATTTTGCTCTTCCAAGATGAAGAAATATAAAAAGAAAGACAAATGATACACCATTAGAATGAAGATAACGTAAACGCCATCCATAATATATTTCTCTAATTAAAAAGAAAAGAGAAAAATATGCTGAATTAATATCTGATGTATCATGTAAGCCTAAGAAGATTCCTGTAATAATTTGTAATAAAATAGTAATTCCTGATAAAAAAACCAATATTCCAAAAATGATTTATGATCAAAGGACAAGGATATGATTGTAAATGAGATTTCATTAGTTGATGGTTTCGGGCAGCCCTCCATTTTACACCAGAAAGGCCAGGAAAGCCCCAGGAAGCCCCCGAGAGGCCCAAGTCCACTGCATTCCACGAGTGGGTACAATTTGAAAATGGACCAGCAAGGGACCCCAGGATTTGCCCGTGCCACAATAAAAAAAATGCGATTTTTTAGTACTGAAATCGATGGTTTCGGGCAGCCCTCCATTTTACACCAGAAAGGCAAGGTCACAAGCTACTTCTCAGGAGCCCTCCTCACATGAAACCGGCTCATGTCGTTCTTGTCCAAAAACACCAAGACATCAAGTTGCTGACAAAAATGAAGCTGTACGTAACACATCTACTGCATTGCGTTCGCGATGGCAGTGAGAATGGACAACGTTGCGTCCACAGGCCTGCCGATAGATGCTGGTCAAGAAAAAACCAGCAGGCATAAATTGCGCAGAAGAAGTTGGCAGTGATGCTAACCTGTAACGCACAAACTTGCGCCAAGAATCCATATTGGTGTGTCAATGTTGACCCGGCCACCCACCTTTATCCACACCCCGCCCGCCGCGGCCCAGAACGACGACGCGCCTGATGAATATGCTGACACGATGATGTTGATGATCTTGATTGGCTCATTTTGATGATAGTCCTGGTCGCTGATGCTGAAATCGATGATGACGGCGATGGTGACGACGATGATGAGATGAGAACTACAACGAGTACAACAATGATTCCACAGGCCAGCCAGAACAAAGCATATGGATGACAAGGACAATGGCAAGGGTGCAGGCGTCCACTATGGACAATGAATGATGCAAGCCAATAAAGGCGCACACGAACGGGGCAAGAAAGCATACTGAAATATCAATCTCTTGGCGATGCCACCTCCACTACATTGAGGATGTTGGCATTGCTGACCTTGATGATGATGCAGATGAAGTTGCATATATGACATCATGGCGCAACGAAAGAAACGGATCAGTGCATACATATTATACATTTATACATGCGCATACACATATAGATTTACATATACAAATGCTGCTCATGAAGATGATTATATATGATTTTGATGGTAGTGATGGTGATGGTGGTGGTGGTGATGGTGGTGGTGGTGGTGGTGGCGGTGGTGGTGGTGGTGCTGGTGCTGGTGCTGGTGCTGACGGTGATGCTTATGATGATGAGCAGCAGAACCTCACCACCCCCTGCCCCTTTGACGTATACCATGCACCATGCAAGCTTGCCGAGAAGCAATCTCCCCCCCCCCCCCCTCTGCCCCCATCCAGCATGAGTTTCCTGCGACCAATCTTGATCCAACCCCCTGCCCCCCGGCTGCTTTCCAGACTGCTACCTGCGGTAAGGAAAATGACCTGCATGACTGGCGCCTTCCGTGTCTCTGAGGTGCACGCCCACCATTGTTTCACATCACCCTCTGTGATGCCGTGATTGAGGAAACCTGCATCCTCACAGGTTGCGTGAGAAGTCTTGGCAGCCTCTGCTTTCCATAATTCGGGCGTTCAAGGTGCTATTGGTTCACGATGTAGACCCACACTGACACATGCAATAGCCAACCCAGGCCAGCATAAAGGTCTGGGCGGCAGGTCTTACTGGTAGCTTCAACATGTGGGTGACGCTGCTCCTTTCACGCGTGCAAGGCCGCCTTGGTATGCTTCTATACGCGCTTGGAGTTTAAAGCTTCCGGTATATGCTGAGCAGTCCCTCCTGAAACACTCCAAGGAGGATGTCATACTCCATGCCACCTCAGCTGGGACAAGCTGGAGATGCTTTTGAAGCTTGTCCCTGTAACTCTCTTCTGCTGTAAATGGTCGCATGTTAGGGTCAAACTCCAGGGTTGTTTGCAAAGGCTTGTAATGAAAGTCAAGGGGCTAAGCGGCTAAGGGGACAGTGTCTCCTCGTTGCAGGAACTCCTCAAGTGAGCCCTTACACGATACTGGGACGTTGCCCTTACCCTCCCAGCAAAGCCAAGTCACAACAAGAACTGAAAAAGAAACGAGATGAGCTGGAAGGCTGGACGTTGGAATGCGAATGTGTTGCTTGTACGTTTTGAAAGATCAGAGCCCAGTGATCCATACTCTGCCACGTGACCATGTCGACCACTGGAGTGCTGCAGGAAAACGTCCTGCCGGGCTGCGAAGAAGTAGTACCATGGTACTCTTCCCCACGCACTGCAGCAGCAGCAAAGAAGAAGAAGAAGAAGAAGAATCAAAAAAAAAAACTTCAAACACATGGAAACGAACCATCCCAAAAACCTGCGCTCCATACGTCTTTGCAGCACAACGATGACAAAACCCTGTCCAGCAGTAGACCCTCGCGTTGCTCGTCAGCGGAAAGCCGAGAGGGAGACGCCCTCTTCGGCGGGGCGTCAGGTCGAGACTCCTTCACTTCGCACACTATGGGGTGCGGGTTTTCTATGAGTTTGCTACAGGGGGTTTGCTCTGGAACTGCTTGGTTTTGGAGGCGCTGCTGCCATCTGCTCGGTGTACCAACAAGAGGAGGAGTGCTCACGGATCGTCACAGCGCCTCGGACTTCCTCCTGGGGCGTACACCCGCATCCGCCTCTTTCCTCGAGAGTGGGCACATGGCGTGCACGGATTCTGCTTGCATTGGCCGAGCCGAGCCCTCCAGCCATGACACAATGCACCCAAATATACCCGGTTACCCAAACGCCACATGCTCTGTCCTCGATTCGAGATACAAGCATGGCACTGCTTCACTCAGGCGCAGGCACGGCTGCGACAGATGCGCTGGCCCACCCGCCCTCGGCGCAGAGCATCCGCGCATGACCATACACTTGGACGACTTTGGAAGATTCTGGAGGGACTCGGGCTTAGATCCCGTCACACCTTGACCATGAGGCCCTAACTCTCCTCTTTTGATCTAACCCGCTCCTTTTATCGCTCTTTTATGGCAGTATGTTCCGCTCCGATTGGATTCTGCTGCTCGCAAAAAGACGACATGTTGCCGAAACACGACAATACATGGGTCTTGGTGCACAATGTTGCTGAGACAGATGACTAAGCTGGCCCAAACAAAATTTTCACAACAACGAACTCCCGGCCGCCCAATGTACAGCTTGAGGAAACTAAAACATGAAACTAAAATCTCAGCTCTGGAAGAGGACGTGCTCAGACTCTCGAAGCCACAGCTATCGGCTGAACTGACAACACCTTGAGAGATTTGAAGCTTGTCTTGGGTTTTGTTCAGTTTGCTCTTGGAGTTGAAGTTTCAAGCGAAAAGGTTGAAAGTGGGGGGGGGGGCTAGGGCTCCTGGAGTCTCTTCCGGACCCTCGTGGTAGCCTGGCCCTTCAGAGCTTCAGGGGTAAGAATTGCAGGACCAGCAGCTCATCGAGGCGCTGTCAGAACTTTCCAGAAAGCCAAATGGCACGCCCATACAATACCATGTGAAGAGGAAGGGAGCACGAGTTTGTCATGAATGAGCGCAGCGAATGAACGCACGAAATTAGGAAGCGTTTGAACGAACCCGGCATAATGTACGTCTTTTCGTGAGCCCGCGATACACATTAATAATAATAATGATAATCATAACAACACTAATAAAAACAATAGTAACAAGAATAATAGAGTGCAGAGAGTGAATACATGAACGAACTGACGGGCTAGTCAATTCAACAATAAAATCGCGTGTTCTTGCACGCCTTGCAGCCCGTTCATAATATTATATTGTGTGTGCTGCAAAAGACCCACTAAGACTACTGTATTTTGTTGGGTCTTTTTTTCGAGCACCAGGACACAGCTTATGATTGAGGATTTTCCCAGTAGAAAGCTCTTTATTCTTGTTCACTTGTTCACACTGCTAGTAATAACTCCGTGAGTGAAACGAACACTATGACTAGTACTATCATTGCCTCGCGTGCCAATTATCAATTCATTTCATGCACGCAGCATGAATATTAAGTGCAAACTCGTTCGGGGTGCGAAAGTGCGGTGGAATGCTGTGCCAAGCGCTCACGTGTTGTGCAAAGCTCGGGCATATTTTCCTGTCGCTCAGGAAAGGGTTTTGCTTCTGCTGCTTCTCCGATTGGCTGCAGTACAAAAGCAACCAAGCCTGCCTTCGGTGCCGTTGGGTGCACTTGGTTGAGATGGCCACCATCCAACATGCTGTCGATGATGGTACGGCATGAAGTAACACTGCCAATGGCCAGTCTAGTGTGAGGATGCACAGCGAAAGAGGTTCCAACGCAAGCGCAACCTGCCGACACGTATCCGAATGCAGCTGAGCTGTGCAACTACAACGACGGTTTTGCCGGTTTTGCACCACGGCCTTGTACCTGGTGCTGTGAGAAAGCTCAGGCCCTTAGCTGAGCTTTCAGCGGAAAAATGTGCAGAAATAATTGCAAAGAATTTTAAATGAAGTCTTGTTAACTATTGAATTAGGTATGAGCTTCGGCAAAAGCGAGTGTTGCTTTTGCGGCTCGGAGGTTGCTGAAATGCTGGCGTCACCTGGCATCCCCGGCAAGCATTTGAGCAGCTGTTAAAAAGTTGAGACGTGCTCTTTACAAAAGGTCTCTGACATCTTCTCGGGTCTGACCACCTGCTCAGGCACAGCCCGGGCCGCCAACGAAGCGAAGGCAAGCGGTTTGGGGTTGGCTGGTCAGCAGGAGCACGGTGATGCCGTAGGGCAGGCAAAGGGCTGGGATCAAGATGACCAGGGCGGTCATGCATCGGTTGCGGCCCTTCCCCTTCCTCGCTTGAGCATCCTGCTTCTGCCGAGGGATCAGAGGGAGCGCCAGGGCCCCTAGCATGGAGCAGAGGTACGTCAGCGCGTAGGACAGGGCCACGGTGCGGCGGAAGCTGTCTTCGTCCCTTTGGTAGTTCTCGGGCTTGGACAACGAGGGCTGGAACAGGGAGGAGACTTGGTTGGAGACAGCCACGGACAGCGGCTGACTGGAGTGCATCACTGTGCCAACGAGGCCGTATGTCAAACCCTCCTGCCCCGGCTCCGAGAGTTCGATGACCATCAAGTTCAGGATCAAGGCCAAAGCCGTGGTGGGCACGGCCCCGACAATCTCCTCGCCCAAATAGAAGTACTGGTCTCGGACCACATCGAAGATCGCCAAGAAGGTCGGCAAGGAGTCGCAAACCGTCACCGCCACAGTAGCTATGAGGATGGCCTTCCGCCAACAAGACTGCAACAAGTAGACTTTGTAGACCCAGGTGGCCGCCATCATCACGAACATCCCGGCCATCTGAAACAGCTGCTGCTGCAGCACCCGGACTCCGGCCCACTGGCTCCTGACCATGGGCGCCGCGGTCGTACTTAACCCAGCGAAGAACTGGAAAACGAAGGCGAAGATCAACACGCCGGACAAGCATTTGCTTTGGATCAAATTCCAAGACGAATCCATGTGTGCCCGGAACGAGGGCCGCTCAACCTTCCTGGGCTCGTAGACGCTCACCATGCAGATCAGCAGCAACATGGCGGAGATGACAAAGCACACCATCATTAAGCCATTGAAGGAGATACCCCAATCGAAGGTGCCCAAGTATTCCTTGCTGTTCATGAAGACCCCAATGACTGCCGAGGAAGCGAGTGAGCCTGCCATCGTGACCATGGTGAACTCAGCCTTCATCTTCCCGCGGGACTCCAGAGGCTCGCACTGAGAGTACTGCAACAAGAGGCCCTCCCCTGCCACGCAGCCCATTTGCACGCCTGCAACAAGAACAAACATGGGGAAGATGTACCAATTCTTTTCCGCATGGATTGTTGGATTGCAAGGCGGCGACAATGTGTCGTAGCTGCCATCAGGATGTTGACAGTAGTAGGGCCCGGGAAGGGTCCACAAGCTCATGATCAAGAGCGCGCAGGCACAGATGAGCCAGGATGCCAGGAAGTACGGCTTCCTGTTGAGACCGCAAATGGGAAGGCAGTCGTTCATCATGCCGAAAGGAAGAAGCAGCACTTGTGGAAGCTTCATGAGTGCCGTGATCGACATCATGACGTTTGAGTCCAAGCCCATGTATCCGAGGAAGAAGCCATAAGCGACGCCTGTCACTGTGGCATTCAAGAAAGCCAGGAAGAAACCACCCAAAGGCAAACCGATTGTGCGCCGCGTCCACAAAGAGAGCCTTTCATCTCCGTCCTCCGAAAACGTCGACTCAGAGGCCTGACTGGACTGACTGGACTCTGCACACACGGCCGCCTCCTCCACGTCGCCTTTCTTGTCATTGTTTGTCTGGGAGCCGAAGCGGCCTGAGAAGATGTAGTCCTCCAAGTCCTCACGCCCAGCCCAACGTTCACGCATGTCGGGGAGGCAAGACAAAACGATGAAAAAACAAAATACAGTCGGTCGGCGGGGTCTCTTGAAGAACGTTCAGGCACTTCAAAGTCGGACATTCGGATGGTTCGGATTGTCGACATGTCTACTACCTCCCTAACAAAACGCACAGCATTTTTGTGAAGCTCACTATAGTCGTCATGGTCGCATCGCTTGCTTGTCTGGATGCTTTTTTGAACCCGTACTTCGGCCGAGGGGTGTTATGAGAAAGAGTTTGCGCAAACACTCTCCGAGCAGCCGCCCGCACGTCACAACCCAGACTACACCAGAAAACTCAAGCCGCGGGAGTGGGTGGGTGGTAAAATCTCGATGGGTCAGCCCTTGACCCAAGTGGCCATCCCACCTACCGCGCTAACACGCTAGCAAGCATTCCACTGCAACATGCAAGCCGTTGACGACGACAAGTTTGACAACCGCTCCCTAACATCTCCGCGAGAGAACGTGCAGCGTTTATTGAAGCTCATTGGTCGACATGAGACAGCACAGGGCCTCCCTCCCAGAGTCTCCATCCCCATCTGTCCCTGCTAGATGACCTCCAGTAAAAAACTTGAAGTTGAAGGGTCACCCCTACCTGACCCCACCAGAGACATCATCCCACCCACCACATTTTGAAAAAGGTCACCGTAGCTGTCAAGGCTGTAGCAGCACAGGCACGTTGAGGGCTCCAGCTTCCCAAGGGCTCGTTTGCCGCGCAAATGCCGTCGACCTCACAGGCACAGGGGTGATCTGGCGCCCGAAGTCCGTCGTCTGGCGGCCAAACTCTGCGGATCTTTCCGGCAAGGCCGACATGGCTGCTTGGGCTGCAAAGGGGTCGCAGATGGGCCCAGACTAGCACTCCAGTCTTCTGTTCCTTCGTGCCCAGACGGCATGCCGGCAGCTGCATCAGAAAAGGCATTTACCAACTGCAACATTAGCAAGGGCCAGCGCATCTCTAGGTATCTCTGGACATGTCCTCCTCTCCGGTTTTCTGTGACATCCTCTCGATGCGGCACCAAGTGCTGTCATAACATGCGGCTTTTCAGGGTATGCGGAGGGGCTCTCAGCGTGTCCTTCCAACCGAAGCTTTAGATGAATCAGGACTTGTCCGGAATTGTTAACTCGAACCACATACCTTCATTCCTTCCCAAAGACGCATTCAGGAAGCCCCCGGAATCGACGACCAAAGCCTGGGTTGCCTGCATTTGCAGATGCGTCTTGGAACGCAATTGTGATTGCCTGGCATTTTGTGTGGTGGACGAAGGCACGATGGATTCGAGTCTACTCTATGACGGTCTGCACATGTCTACACTTAAACTCCATTGTTGCCATAGGCTTCGGTTCAAGGCACACTACACTCACTACACCCACCGGACTTCAAGTTGCAGTCCGATCGTGGGAACTTCAAAGCAGATATACAAGGGCCCTTGTCATCAAGCAACCGAAGACACGACGTCTGGAATTCTGAGTCGTATTCAGTCGTAACCCAAGGCGTGCATGATGCGAAAGCATGGCTTAAGCTTTAGCAAACTTCATGAACAGTGTGAGGATCAGCCAATGGGGTCCCATGCCACATTGTGACTCTTCTGTTGCTGGAGCCCTAGTACACGCCAGCAGCGGTGCCTTGTGAACTTCACTGGGTTGGCAGCCTCGCTTCTCGGCCTTTGTGGGCGCAGATCCTCGACCCTCGACCCCGAAACCCACGCCCCTCGTTTCGGACGCACTTCGGCAGGGCAGCACCAGGGGCGTGGCGATGAGTTCCAGAGCTTCCAAAAAGTGTTCTATCCCTGGCGTTGAAGGGAATGAAGGGATTGGAGGGATTGAAGGCATTGAAGGGAATTGAAGGGAATTGAAGGGGTTGAAGGGATTGAAGTGCCGGGTTCCAGCCCGGGAAGTGGGGCAGCTATTGCCGAGCGAGGCTTCCTTTTCCACACCATCGGAGTCCTTCAAGCCTGGGCTCCTGAACGCTGTCCAATGATTGTCCGTGTTCGATGGCTTCGGAATCTACAGCAGAGACACACAGCACCGGCTACAGCAAAGAACGGAAAGTCTAGGATATTTCGTGCCATGCTGGCATTGCTTTGTTTTTGTACAGCAATTAGCATTGCCGCTCTCCCCGCTGATGCCCCATCTCTCTTTGGCCCCTTTGACAGCATACTGGCTGGAAGGCCCTGTGTCAGAGTTTCGGCAGGCGACCAGATGGTGAGCAAGATCTGCACTTCAGCCGCAACATTGTCTCGCTGATCGTCGCCGAAACTCTGCTAGGAGCTGGTTCCTGCTGAAAGGCTCATGCTGACAAACAGGCAGCTCCGATGTTGGGCATCGTTCATGGGCATGACCCTCAGTTCGGCCATCCGGCCATCACAGCTTGTCCGCGCGCCGCCGCGCAGGTTCACTCCCTGGCCTCCCACGAGCACTGCAGAAGCCTTTTGGGCCATTGGGCTTCAGGGCATCTTGAAATTGACATGGCACCATATGAAGGTTAAGGGGCAAGGTTTGTGAGTCTACGCAGGGGCTCTATCAAATGCTTCGTTCCTTCCTTCTCCTGGCTTCCTCCGTCTTGGGGAATACACATCATTGCCTGAGGTCACGACAGTGTTCTTCCAGGGCGTTGTTGCAGATGCTCTTGTTTTAGCTCTCTCGCTCTCTCGCTCTCTCGCTCTCTCGCTCTCTCGCTCCTTGTCTGTCTGTATTTCGTTCTTTCGTTGTTCCGTTTCATTGTTTTTCTTTTCCTTTCCCTTATGTTCCTTTCTTGTCCTTTCTTTTCCTTTATTGTCCTTTCTTTTCCTTTCTTCTTCTTTCATTTCCTGCATGTTCCTTTATGTCATTTTCTTTTCCTTTCCTTTCCTTTCTGTTCTTCCTTTTTTGTATTCCTGTAGTTTTCTGTATATTTTTTGGTTGTTCTTTCTTTTCCGGTACTTTCATATTCATTGTTTCGTTGTCTCTGTCTTTACTTGTTTTTTTGTTTTTTGTTCGTTGGTTCTTTCTTTCTTTTCTGTATGTCTTTCTACATTTTTGTTGTTCTTTCTTTCTTCTTTTATTTATTTATTTCTTTTCTTCCTTCATTCCTTCGTTCTTTCTTTCTATATTTCTGTCTTTCTTTCTTTCTTTCTTTCTTTCTTTCTTTCTTTCTTTGTTTATTTTTTCTTTCTTTCTACATTTTTGTATCTGTCTCTTTCTTTCTCTTGCTTTCTCTTTCTTTCTCTTTATTTCTCTTTTCTTTCTCTTTCTTTCTCTTTCTTTCTCTTTCTTTCTCCTTCTTTACCCCCTCCGAAGCCTCCTCAGCCTCGGTGGGCTTCCGCCGCTGCCGCCGCGCTTCGAAGGCCTCGCGGGCCACCCCGGGTTGTTCTGCAAAGCGGCAGCCACACCCTGTGTAACGAGGTTCGTATCCATCCTCCCCGCCAACGTGAACACACGAAACCTGTGGCACCAAGGGAGGAGGTCAAGTCGGTCCTGAATCTAAGGGTGGCACCCCGAGCAACTGAAGCGCGCATTTGCAATCCCTTGCAAGTATACCATTCGCACTTTACATGGTTGGTGTTCCTGCTAGCTTCCCTTCTTGTTCTCATCCAGATCAACCGTACCGGACGAACATGCAAGAGCCAGCACCTTTCGAGAAATCGTTCAATGTCATTCTTTTCAGCACTAAGATGTCCAGTAGATGTTGTCTTGTTCTGCGCTTTTGGTTTATTACTTGTTTGCTTTTTGTTTCTGGATTGGTGGTCAACTTCTGAGACTGTATGTACGACTCTGCGTTTCTGACAATAAAAGCCATGCCTCCATCTGAAGCTACGAAGCACGATGATTGCCGATTTGGCCGCCTTTTGAGGCGGGCTTGCGCAGTCTTGCCCGGAAATCCTCAAACGTTTGCAAGAACCAGATTCTCATACCATCTTTCAATCGTCCACACACGTGGTCGGAAAGTCAAGTAGCTCACGTACTCCCAAGGTTTCCTGCGCCCCATGCCCGCAGAACTTTGGGGCTGCCATTTTAGGGCAGACTGCGGACCTCTTGCTTCTCCTGCAGGGTGGGACATCCGGGGCGCCTTGAATGCATGCGCAGTTCTGACGTAAAGCTTTCATCAGAGGTCAACCCATGGGTCACCTGTGTATACAAATATACATGAAGATACATATATATATATATGTGTACATCTTTTTTGCATTTCCTACTTTTTGTATGTGTATATATATATATATACAATATAATGTATTTAGATGGCTTCTCAAGAGTCGACACCCATGAGCCCGCAAGGCCACAACGAGCTAAACCTAAAACCCTGAAGCCCGAAGCCAGGGATTCCACGCGACCTCCTCAACCCCACGCATCCTGAAAGACCCGGAGCTGACCTGTCCCCTCGCCTTGGTCCCCCCCGAAGCATGAAACGCAGCACCAGCAAGTGATGCCAAGAGCCAAATGTCGTTCAGAGTCTTCCCTCCCTGCTGAAATTCCCGAGGTTTTCAGACGCACTGTTGAAGCATAAAACAAGTACGTAAACCCGAGCTCGGCTGCCGGATCTTGACCAGCTTGCAGCCGTGCACATTTAGGTTTGGCCAAGTGGCTGGAGCAGCGGCACATGCTTCCGCTTGCCCTCGCGCTCGCGGCCCGTCGGCTCACCACCGCAGGCAGTCAGCATGCAGCTTGCAACCGCAAAGGCGCGCAACTGCCGGTCGCGGAGGCTCCGAAAGGTGTCCTTACATCCAAGACCATGTCTAGATTCCCGCATCGTGTTGAAAAAACCCACCTCACGGCTCAGCTGTTTTTCAGGACTGAATGAGATGAATGTCTCTGGCTGAACCTCTAATTTGAAAAATGAATGACCATACACGCTATCAGACAGTATGCTGGCACCGGCACTGACAAAGACAGAGACTTTTTGGAGAGACTTTTTGAACTGTCGCTCCCCCCCCCCCCGAGTCCAACCTGGGCCTGTCCTTCTTTAAACGGTCCCCGGATTGTATATGCTTTCGGGGTGAGAGTTTATATAAGCTTAAAGTGATCAGATGAGAAAGGAATCAAAAAGGGCTTAGGGACCAAATAAGAGCACTTTTGAACGAGTGACACCTGAACCCCGGAACTCTGAGCACCTTGGAAGATGCATCCCCAAAGATGCCCTCAGTCAGGGAACTGCGGCGCTCGAAGGAGTTGGCAGGCCTGATTCTCCTTCATGCGGGCGCAATACATGTTTTCAGCTGCACGTATGAAATTTACGGCCTCTTGGACACGTGGCGTACAGCAACGTCAACAACTGCCGCCTTCGCAGCCCAGAATCTGCAGGCCGGAGCAGATCAGAAAAAAACTGAAAACAAGGCCGTCCTGCCGGCTTTGGGGTGCTAGGAGCGAAGGCTACCCCCTCGAATCCGCAGTCGCGGAGCACCTCATCAAACAATACCAATGCCAGAATTTTCTGCATCGAGAACATGACAGTGTTGCGACACACAGCGTGCATCGATCGGATGCAAAATCGGGTAAACATTGTGAACAAATCATGATGAGTCACTTTCGGGCTTTGCAGGCGGGTTTTAAGTCTCCAAAAGGCACACATGTTGCACACATGTTTCAGCAATCAAGTCACCAGACCAGACTCATCGGCGGGCTCGTACCTCGGCACGTTTGCTACCCTCAGCTTCAGTTTTTCTAAATAGCCAGAGCGCGACTACCCTACGGCCCTACGGCTACAACTGCGAAGCTTTCCTGCTCCTGCCACTGTACGATTCCTACGGTGACTCACACGAAGGCCCTAGCCAGCCTTGGTGCTTTCGATGACACCACTACGACTACGACAACTGCAGCTGAAGGCATGACTGCCGTGATTGGACCTTGGGTCAGGCGATGCGGTCTACATTTTTGGGGTGCGGCAGGTTGGTGCATGGCTAAGGGCAGCTGGGTCACAGCGGTTTTCGTGGGCAGCGCTCCACATCCAGAAGTGCCTCAACGACGCTCGGCGTCTCCAGGCCTACCCCACATGTCACTGTGGGCGCGAATTCGTTCCGGGCACTTTCCAGGCAATGTAAATTCAAGCTTTAGAAGTTCAGGGCCTGGGTGCGACGCGCGCTGATTGCTACAAGAACTTCATGACATTCAAAGTATTGGCAGGATGATGCAGGATATGTGTGTCAGGCTCACTGCTGCCTTTGAAGAGAATTCTCTATGATTGGCTTTTTGTGATGAGGACATGCGCTGCCACTTCGTCACACGAAGACAAAAGGGTTGCATGTAACCACCTTGGCCAGCAGCCAGCCTTGCCCTACGAGCAGAAGCACCGCCGCCATACAACGAACCTGCAGAACATGGTTTGCCATGCGTTGCACACAGCACGCAGTACACCGGGCTTCATGGCCTGCATATCCGCCAGACTGACAAAGAGTGCATGAAACCAACCCTCTCTTACAGCCCGCGCGGAGCTACAGGCTTACACCCATCGAAGAGAAAAAAAAACACAAACCGCGCCTGATGCCATAGGAAAGCGAGGCCAGTCACAGCAAACTCTGCCACGCCATCACTCACCAAGCGAACAGACACGGACAGCACCCTTCGGCGGTAGTTCGTGATGTTCTCGACGTCCATCTTGCCTGTCATGTCTCAGCATTGATTCAGGAGAGGGGCCGCTGCACGGCTGCATGCAAAAAGACTGAGCCTACTACTGCATCCGCGTTGCAAAAATTTCGAAAATCGTGTTCGCCCACGAAGTGTGCTGCTGCTTCCTGCATTTTCTGAAGGTCTTCTCCAGCATGCGGGAAGTAGTATCTCAGCCGCGGCTTGGCAAAGGCCGCGCATCAGCCACAACACTTTGCATCCAGGCAAGACCCACCCCCCACATCCGAGAACACAAACGTCAAATTGAAGAAGGCGGCTAATATTCGTGGATTGGCAACTGCGCCAACCCTCAAGACTATGCACCTCCTGGAAGTCATAATCGCACTGCTTTGAAAGAGAAGCCCAGAAGAGCCCCAGATTTTGCCCCAGACACCCTGCTAAGTGGAGCAACTATTCCTCGACGGATCTGCCCCAAATCGGCCCAAAGGCACGCTATGTACGACAAGAGAAACCAAAACATCCTGCAAAGCCCAAGGCACTCAAGGCACGTCCCAAAGAGAAAATGTCAGGACTTTCACGCCAGGACAGCAGCTTTCCGCGCACACTGTACTGGAGAATTCAATCCTGAACTCCGAACCCTGAAGCCACCAAACCCAAAGCACTGGCTGCAGACAGCACGGCTGGTAGGCTCGGAACAGGCAGCTGAAGCGAGCATCGAAGCCGCTGGGCGCGGGTGCCGCAGCCAGTATCCTCTGTGGATCCCAAAGTAGCCGCAGCCCAGTTCGCGCGCTTTTTTAGGCAACTTGTGACGGTAGCCGCAGGGGCTTGATTCATTTTGGCCCCCCCGCAGCAGAAACGCCTCGAAGGCTGCGCGAGCTCCCAAAAGACATATTCTTGCATTTCTCTCGCTCTCTCCATCCACCTTCAAAAAAGAAGCTTCGATGCAGCGTTGGTTCCTGATGTCAGGCGGCAGCACGCCATTCAAAATGCTTGGGTAGTCGAAGCCTTCCTAGGTGGCAAACGCACTTGGGCGACTGATGGCGAACGGTAGTCCGCAATTTGTGGGGCACCGAATTGTAAAAACATGCAAAACCGTCAGCTCCGAATGTGGCAGCCTAAAGCAGTCCTGAACGTCCTGATTACTCTGGTCATGCGGCCGCGCGACACTCCCTGACTGGGAAGCAGGCTTCAGTCTCAAGTTCAGCGAGATATAGTTGCCGGCCGCGTGGACTCCCTGGCAAACCGTTTACGGCGAGGATTCCAAGCTTTCGTCCTCACCTGAAGACAGCTCCCTGCAACCTGTAGGAACCGTGTAAACATGAATTCCGCGGGTCCCAACGAAATAGTTGTGTTGGGAGCACCTTGTCCGTCCGCCCACAGCGGGAAAAGTTGCAGCTTTGCCGATCCTCAAGGAAACGAGGGTTGGAAGGTGGTGAGGCATTGAGAGGCGATGAGCGATCGAGCATCAGAAGCACAAGTGAGACCACATGTACATGATCCAACACTTTCATCAAGAAGTGCGACATCAATCGCATTTCCCAACATCAGTTGGCCTGTTCAACAAACATGACAGTGTCGTGATACTACGAAGATCAGGACGCGTGTTGTGCAAAATGGCCACTCGGAAAGTCACTCACATCTCACGCCCCGCCGTGGCAAGGCACACATGCTCGACGAATGCAACATGCGTGCGATACTGCGCCTGGCGTTGGCCTGGCCTCTGTGCTGAAAACTGGTGGCGATAACGCATGGCGAGTGTGACGGCACCATCACTGGCGGGCAGCGCATTCCTAAGAGTGTGCTTAAGGGAGTCAGCGGCGGAAGCACAACATCGACTAGGTCGCTGCATCTCACCACGATGGTGTACAGAACGGCCATTCAAGAAGTCATGAGGCCCACACCGAGCTTGCCCCCAAACGCATGCCCGAGCGGGGTCTGCCGACTGCCCATAAAACTACTGCTGTAGTGCAGTTTGGTAGAGCGCATGGGAATGCGAGGTGATCATGGCTTTGACCCACTTTAATCATCAGACCACGACATTGCTGGGTGTATTGGGACGAACAAACAAACGAAGCGGAGGTCCCCTAGGACACGAGCTCGCATCTCATGCACTAGCCCGCCGAGGCCTTGGGATGTCGGTGTTTTGGGTTGTCAGACCAGGCACCCCCCTCCAAGTCCTCCCTCCCGGTTTGCCTGGACCAGGGGCAGTTGCGTGGCATTGTGGGCATAGGTCAGGCGCATTCAGGGGCCCGAGGCTCAAACTGGGTGAGAATGGCCTGGTCAATCATGCATGCAGAATGCTTCGCTACCCTTCGTGGCGAGCCCCCTCCGAAGATGCGTTGGGCCTGCCCAAGGCGGGTCGCGTAGCGTTGAAATTACATGCCGGATGCCCAGTCCTTCACGAGTCGGGTCTTCTGCCTCGGCAAGCCGCAACTGCCTCTCTGCTCTCTTTCTCTGAAATTTCGAGGCGCTCTAAAGCTCTCGCATTTTGGGGTAGTTGTCGAGAGCTGTCGGAGTACTCTCATGTGCACATGCCCTACCCACCATTCACATACTCACACACGCACAGCGCAACATCCGACGGTTGAAGTGTTCTCAAGCGTTCGGGCGCACAAGGCGGGCCTCAAATCAGCTTCAAGCTGACGACAACAGGAATAGGTACTTGTTTCTTTGCAAACCCTTCCTCTAGGCAAAGGACACGGTGATAAAACATGACAGGTGCATACCAGACCACTTGCAAAGCGAATCGTGCACCTCACACAGCGCCGGAACATGAGCCCAAGGACCGAGGACCTTGCTTCAACTCCGAACCCAAGCAACATCCGCCATGCACTCCGTGCACTGTGGGGGCACCATGGGGCACCGAGCGGCAATGCTTCAAAGAGTGCAGCCTCGACAGTTGGGCAAGTGCTTGGCTCCTGAGAGTCATTTAGGAGGGGTTGGGGCCGGCTGAGAACTGCTGTAGTATGCGATACAACGCCTTACAAGGCAGACTTCGCCACCAGGTTTTGAATCCACGGACCTCTGAACGGGCTGTAAAGACTTGACCAAGACCACAAACACCCAGGCTTGCAACAGTTGCCTGGAAAGCTGGAGACACCACATTTTTTGAGGCACGCGCGCACACACACACACACACACACACACACATTTAAGACTTTAAGATCTACGAATCTACGATCTGCGAAAATCTGAAGAGATTCCGGCTGCTTGGACTGTCCATAGGCCAGATTTACAAGGTCTCCATCGGCAGGTGCTTTTCGGGGCATAGGAGGTAAGGCTCATGGAATCAGCGTCTTTTCGGTCGGCTCGAGCAGTCTTTCAACTGTCTGAACCCTCCAAAATGGTTTACAAGCTCCGACATAGTCCACTTCAACGCTGCTTCATGACACCCCCATGCCAAACCCCTGGCCCAGCCGAGGCACTTGCCAGGCTAACCCATGGTAATTGGTGCCTACATAGGCGAGCTTCAAGACCTTGGCCATTCAGGACTCCAATCCGTGGTTTGGCCTTCTGTCTTCTCCGACGTAGTCTTGCCAATCAAACTCCCACTTTGTGACGCTGTTTTTGTTGGGAGGCCGGCCACCAGTGCTCCACGAAGACAGTGGCTTTACTCAGGCTCCCCGTAACAGAGCGAGGTGACTTGTTGAGTCAGGCTCGGAACAAGATTTGATCTCGACGAAGAAGAGGACTCGAGGTAAACAAGGGTTCTCAGGCCCGCACGTAGTGGCCGAACGTGGCTTTGGTCCAGTCAAACTCTCGCGAGCCCTTCTTCCTCTTCTTGTCCGTCTCCTTCCTGACAACTTGCACACTGACCCTTTGGCTGACTCAGACCCACTTGGTTGCCACAATTTCGAGGAGGTCGGGTATGAAACAAACAGACCTGGCAGTTCTACATGCAAGTAAAGCTACTGGAACATTCTAAACCCACAGCAGCTAATGAAACCGCAAACCCCGTACCATTCCTGTGTGACATCGGCCGAGATTCCCCGTGGCCTCGGTGGTAGTCTCCATGACCGCTCGGATTTAGCGATGTATGGAAACCCAGTCCCTTCTCTGCACAGGTTTTCTTGGACTTGAGTGGGGGGTCCCATGCGCAGGTCATTAGCACTAAAACAGCATGGTTTTTAAAGAAGCCCTGCTTAAATGTATCCGGGGCCTGATCCTGAAAGTCTCACTAGCTACACATGTGCATGAACTTGCCGCAGTGAGCCATTGCTAGCCCTACACTTCAGGCTGGCAGCCCTGCGATTGCTGCGAATGCCTGCAGGGAAAATACCAGATGGACGCTGCTTATAAGCAGTTGCAGTGGCAAATCATTGTTCACGCAGCTGCAACATTCTGCGGCGCGCCTATCTCGCGCTTGCCTTTGGGCTTCACCTTCATCAGGGGATGCATGCCGCAGCAGCTCGCAACGCATTAAGCAGCACAGGCCATGTCAACAGAACCAGAGACCGTTCCCGGTCACTCTTGACCATGCGCAGAACCTTCCTTACACATGCCAGGTGTAGGAGATTGCTCATGATCGCGCTTTGCTCGCTCTGCCTGACGACTCAGAAGATGAAGCGTGCACGTTGGCGGGCGTCACCCCCTGTAAAGGCTAATGTCCTGTGAGGCTCCTTCCCGTAACACCTGGAGCTTCAAGCTTTCCAGCGCGGGCCGTCGCTCAGGCACCCGTCAAACATCCAGCGTTCCAGGCTCGTGCCATACGACCTGTCGGAATGGTACCCTGGGGCCTGGGGGCGCTGGGTTGCAAGTGCACCCTCAACTATGGCTGAACGTGTAGCCTTTGTACTTTCATGGTTTGGCACCCACCTGTTAGTGGAATGTGGACTTTGCAAGGCGGCCTAAGGGGGTGGGCCCGCATTTAATCCCTCGAAGCTCGCGCTGAATGAAGAACCGAATGTCGCTGAATGAAGAACTGAATGTGACTGCAAAAGGCTTCTTTCCCTGGCAGGTTCGCATGAAACGTGGCTGTCTCAACATTCCCCACCTTTCAGCATCCCCGAACAACATGTCGATACTTCCTGATACGTCATGGATTCTGCGCAAGGCCTGGGATGAAGGTGCTGTCCGCTGTGCAGGCGTTCCTCGATTGTGCAGATTCAGATTCCCGAGCCTTAAACCCTGACGCCACCTTTTCCGGCACAGGATGTCGACTCGTATGTCTTAAAGATATTGATGCATTTTGGGCATGAAGAGGGTGCCCCAAAAAGAGTCCCAAAATCATCATCGGGCATCCAAGCACGGCACTGCGCCAAGAACTCTTGCGCTCCTTCTACGTACGCACTACATGACCCTTTCTAAACATCTTTCTCGGCCAAACTCTCAGTCCAATCGGATTCAAGCTTCACTCCCACCCTCCCACCCACACTGAGTCCATGAGTAGCTCAGTAAATTCAGGAGAGGCGCGCACAGCTCGCAGTAGGCGGTGTGGTAGTTCGCCTGCGGCCGCTTGGAAGAAGCTCACTCTTGCCATGCGGGCTTGCGCTTTGCGGGTTCCTTCCTGATTTTAGAATATGTTAGAATGTGTTCTGGCTTGCAACGCTCAGATCGACACAGCGATTGTTCACTAGATTTGCGTGGCCTTGAGAGACCGCCGTGCCTCTCCACATGCTGATCCGTTACTATGTCTGGGCTGCGGGCATGCTGGCTTGTCACAGTCAATCTCTGACGCCAGGCGTGAAATCCTAGGCTGATGGACAAAGATCTAGCATTGCATCCGCTGGGTCATCACTTCGCTCCCTTCTCCTTGAAGAATGAAATCCGGCGCCCCACCCCAGAATACCCAGACCAAAGTAAATGTACAGATGGGAGACGGTTGTACCTTCGATCGTCGGCATCGATTTCAAGCAAGGTCTTGGCCAAGGCTTCTACGGAGGAGAAGTCATCAACCTCAAGCGTCACGTAAGGCAAGCTTCTGACATCTCAATTCGGCGCAGCACAACCAAACGTGGTTCCCACAGCAAGGTCGAAAAGAAGCTTGACGCGATTGGAAAGCAATGTAGTGCAGGCGCATTGCCTGGCCCGTAAGGAGAGTGTCTCGAAAGCTGCATGCTGTGCTGCTGGCTCGCGCGTTCAAGAAAGACTTAGGGGAGGGGACGGAGTTCTTCGAACATCATCGCCAGAGCCACTGCTAATCGTGCTACAACATGGCCACCCACAGAGTGAAAAGGATGCTCTAGATGGGCTGGAAGACACATCGATCGCATCCGGTCCAGAAGAACCCCCCCGCCCCCCGAAAAAACAACAAATCTCAGAAAAGCATTCAGCAGCTCTCGCCAAGCCACGTGCAGGAAGGACTCCGGTGGCGCGATGTACTCGTAGTCCCTTCTTCCCAGGCCTCCCAATGCCAGCGGCACCTTGGCCGTTACGGAGTTGTCTTGGGATCCAGATTGTGACACAGCATGCAGGATACATTGCCCAACACGCTCAAGGTACCATGGGCGTGCTTCTGATGAGGCCCCGAAAAAACTTCTCCGTGATGTAGCCTTCGCAGCGAGCATTCCTGGGCAGGATGTGTCCAGTGCATCCCTAGCGTAGACAACAAACATACCAAAGAGACAGTTTGAACAACCCACAAGTACTTTCTTCAAAACTGAAAATGCTCACATGAGCTGAAACGTTGCACAGAAGTGAGGAAACAAAGTAACAACAATTCGACATTTGATACGTAAGCCCTACCCCTCTAAACAGCAGGGCTTTCGATCCTCTCTTGCACCGAAGCATGCCGAAGCACTCGAAAGCCGCGTAGAACTTGTACTTGGACATGAGCTGTACATTGCAGGGGTCTGCGCTGTGCTTTGACTTGCAGCCCGAGCGCATTCCACAGGACCCGAACATGTGGGCCTTGTCTGGACCCAGAAGCTTCTGAAGTTGCTTGAAGAGGCTCATGCGCCCCCTGGCTCCACAGTTTGAGACGAACCACAGCAGCAAATAGGGCTTCCCTTTTGCATAATCCACGTGAACATCTGGTAGGCCGGGCTGCAAGGCGCTGAGCCTGTAGTAGGGTCGGAAGATGTCCGACCTGCCCTTGTATGTCATCGTCAAGTCCACTTTGCCCGACAAGGCCTTGGTGGTTCCGCGCGCGAAACCATGCCCAGAGGCAGACTCGAAGTGGAAACTGTATGCCCAAATTTGTCCCGGAGCCTTTGTCCTTGGTGGTACTTTGAGCGGTGCCATCCACAAAGGATTGAAGACAACCGCGTCAGCTCGAGAAAGATCTGCTTTGTTATTTGTCATGTTGCACTGGTGCGGGCAGTGGAGTATTCTATCTTTCGAGCCTTTCTTCTTGATCGGCTTTCCATCCTCCGCACAGTTCACCAGAATCAACTTCGAAGTGCCAGGAAGGGACACAGCAGTACGAGGAACCACTTCTGTCGTGGCATTGCTCGTCACATTCTTTTGGTCGGGCCAAAAGCGTCCCTGCAGCTCTGACGCTGACATCTCCGACTCGTTGACTGAAAAGCCCTGGTCTGTGAGATCGTCGTCCTCACCGGAAAGACCCACCTGTAACGCCGCAGAAAGGCTGACAAAGCCAGGATTATCCCAGCTATAAGCTGTGAACAACGCGACACCAAAGGTGGCCAAAGTAAGGAGGCACGCAAAGACTGTGTAGCGGCCGCACCGCTGCAGCCGCGTGTTCTCCGCAACCGGCCAATTCCCCTCAAGCATTGCTACATCCTTGCGTGCATGAAGTCCCAGTTACTGCCCTCCACGATGACGCAGGGGATGCGGCTTTCTTTGCCGCCGCGGCGGAGTCCACATACATCTGAACACTTTACGCACAACGGGGGGGACATGCGCAGCACATCAGCTCAAGCTGTGGCAATCCATGCGTTACGCTGGCACTCCATCTGCTGCCATACTTTGGGAAAGTGGATTTATCAAAAAAAAAGGTTGTTCTTCAAGTTGCAGCCGCCACGAACAGTGGCGGACAAGGCATACACCTGTGGTTGATCTGAGAGTCTCGACTCTACCGCCGACGCTCGCATGCCGCATGTTTCATGTTGCGCCGGCCTTGAACCTTGCAAGGTCACTCATGACTTCTGCATAGCTGCTCTGGGATCTTCGCTCGTCTCTGGGACTCTGTTCATTGGGGACAAAGCTTCAGAATACTGCTGCCCAAAGTGGGGCTTTCCAGCTTTGACCCTCAGAGTTCGGCGTCTAAGGTTGTCATTGGCTTCAGGAGGATCTTGATTGGGCTTGGGAGCTCTTGCCTTGGAGAATAAGATGGCGGCGTCACTGGGCTTGAAAGCGGCGTTGTGCAAGCAGCAGTCCTGCAAGAAGAAGAAGAAGAAGAAGAAGAAGAAGAAGAAGGCGAAGAAGCAGAAGAAGAATAAGAAGAAGAAGAAGAAGAAGAAGAATATATAAAAAGAAGGCGAAGAAGCAGAAGCAGAAGAAGAAGAAGAAGAAGTAGCTGCTGATGTGTTTGGAGGTGTTCTACGTAAGTTTTGCATTATTTGTGGAGAGTTGCGGTGTTTCGGCACCGGTCTGCAGACCGCTGCAGACCCAAACGCCTAACTGAGCCTGGCCCACCAGCGCACCCTGAAAGGATCACATTCATACAGCCTGTGGCCCTAGAGAGTTGTATCATGTTTTGGCTCCTTGGGGGAGCGCTGAAGGACGGTACGGTTAGGTCACTTCGGGTCGGCGGGTGCCTGGAATAGGCAAACCAAGGGAACCCCCTGACCGAGAACACGGCAACCACTTGGCTTTGCAAGTCTCTCGTAGCTTCAGCCTCTGCTCAGTCGGACTCCGCAGTGCACGAGATCGCAGCAGCAGCGGCGTCCAGTCGTGACACGGATGCCGCTACTGCTGTGACCGCCGCTGCCATTTATCCGATGTCAAAGACCCCCAAGGACCTCCTAAAACACCCCGACCCAGGGAGACGGCTTGGGGAGATGTGCAGAAGGTTTCCGGGCAATAGGTGGCGCGGTTTGACAGCCTAGACGGCACGCGCAAGCGTTTCACAATTGTAAGCACCAAAACTTCTAAAATTTGTAAGAGAAGCCGCACAGCATATTTCACCTGAGGTGAGATCAGGCAGGACCTTTCCAGACCAGGGCCAAGCAGTCTCCAAGTCTTGCGCGAACTGCTGGAACTGACGCGTCCATACTGCACAATGTTGGACATTGAAATACATTGAAATACATTGAAATACATTGAAATACATTGAAAGTACCATTTCAGATCATGTCAAGGCTCAGACTACTGTAACTGTGGAAAGCTTGGCAGGACTCAGTCTGGGCAAGGTCCTCTGACACTCTGGCTCTGCACAGGCGCTACGCACATGCAAATTCCACGATGGTGTTGTGATGGCAGTGGCATTTCTCACATTCCACTGCCTTTCGCCCATGACCACTGCGAGCCCGGTCCTTGCACATCTTCGCAAACCTCGGCAACAGGAGGTTTGGTGCTGTAGTTTCAGTGGAGCCGGCATCTCCAAATACACAGTGCACATTGTTGTCCGGCTAGAGTTTCAAAATTCGTGCTTTGTGACACTCCGCTGGGGACCGTGCTCAGACATAGCCATTTTGTCGTTGAAGCCGTTGAACACGTCGAAGGTGGCCTGTCATGTGGTGACATGCTCTGACTCACAGGAAAGCAAGCGATAATCGCGGCTCAAGGAGGCACAGGGCTTCGAGCTTCCAGGCTTACGGTCTTACGAGCTGCGATCGGGAGCCTCGACTTCAGGCGGGGCTCGCTTCCTTGGTCTTTTGGGTGGCCAGCGCACTCCTAGCACACTCAGAGCTCTCTAGCCCAAACCTGCGCGCGCGTCTCCTTTCAAGAGGGTGCTCAGGACGGGGCATGGTGGCATCTTCTTGATCGAAGATATAGTCACAAAACCTCGGCACCAATGACCAATGATGACCAATGAGGTAGGCGAGGGTTTCGCTCTCCCAACGAACCAAAAAAGCACACTCGGCTCTGAGGCCGCCGCTCCGCAAAGTCGATCCTCCCATCGTTGTTTTGATCCTCACGTCACTGCGGATTGCTTCCAGGACAGGCACCGAGAAGCAGGTTTATAAACCTTGAGGCAGGCACTATCTTGTGGAAAAGCCGGCGGATGTCGGAATCCTGGTCGGTGGAGGACGGAATAGGCTTCTGGAGAGCTGCAAACGAAACACGGTCCTGCAGACGCGCGTCTCCTCTTCGCAAGAGAACAGACCTGCAAGGATTGTGGCCATTGGGCACGGGACGTGTGATTTCCTACCTATACAGCTCATTGCTACATGTGGAAAACCTGTTTAAATTACAGGCCCTTTTGGGGTATCCTATAACAAAAAACAATACACATATACACAGATATATATATATATAGTAAACATATGTAATTTTTCATGTATACAGAAGTCTTTTTCTGCCCCTCCCCCCCCTCCCCGCTTAACAAGCCAGTGAACCAAGGAAAAAAAAAAACACAGGCTTTTGGACCCCTTTTCACGACTACTAAATGTCCAGATTTCTCCAACTCCAGGTCGCTGTCACAATGCCAACCACATAAACCATGAACCATGAACCAATGGCTACCCTAAAGCCCTAAACCCTATAAACCATACACCATGAACCATGAACCACGGGTGTGGGGATAACTGCTCCGGATGCCCTCCCCCTCCCCCAAAAAAAAAAGAAACAGCCATCAAACCGCACACGGCATGAACACACTGCTGGCATAGAACGAAACACAAAGACAAACAAGCAAACACACACACACACACACACACACACACACAAGCAGAACGTGACAGGAGCAAAATCGAAAACAAGAAACACAAGCCGAACACAAAAATGCACAGAACGAAGCGAATAACAAATAGAAACACAATCACAGCAAGAGGCAAAGCAAGAAGCCTCAACGCAGCAGGCAAAAACATCACAGGGCAAGCGCAAAAAACAACACACACAACACACACACACACAACACACACACACACACACAACACACACACACACACACACACACACATGTGCGCGCGCGCGCAAAAACCAAAATAAGAACAAATATGAAAAGCAAAACGAAGCAGCGCGAGTCCTCAATAACCGTCGGTCGGTCAGTACCCAATGAACAACTGAAACAAGTTGTACAATGAAGGTGCGTGAAAGCATCAGAATCAGACGTTCAAGCCAGCCGGCATGGAACACTGGCTCTGACACACAGCTGTCACGAAGTTGAAATGGGCAGACATAAAACCAACAGGGTTGCGCTGATCTTGCGGTGCAAAGAGCAAGCGCAGAAAGCAGAACAAAAACAAAACAAACTGATGGAATAGAACACTTTGCCCAACAAAAACTGTAATATTCGAATATCTCATTGACGAAGCAAACAAAAGCAACAAAAGCAAACCCAAAAAAAATCCATCAAAGGCAAGAGGCTTAGAACAAGACAATCAAAGGCAAGAGGCTTAGAACAAAGCAAGAAAACAACTGGCCAACTGCGCCTAACCGAACTCTCCTGCAAAGCGTAGCACTGGCTGGAACCTTTTGAATGTTTACATAATCCGCCGAGGCCTCGGGCCAAAAGCGTAAAGGTTGTGAGAACAGGCACCCCCCAAGCCCAAAGCCAATTGTCGGCCCACTGTTTTGCCTGGAAAGGGTACCCCCCCCCCCCCTGGGCGACCACGATCTGAAAGCGGACGGTTCGCCAGGAGCAGGGGCAGTTGAACCGCCCCCCCCCCCGGCCTCTGCCCCCCCCTCCCTCTTCCCCCCCCCCCCCCTCCCGCCCCGACCCCCTCCCCCCCTTTTGCTTGAGGGTTTGGCTTGAACCTTGAACTCTAAACCCAAAAACACGAAACCCCAAACCGTGAACCTTGAGCCCTAAGCCCTCGACCCTTAAGTAACCCGTAACCCTAAACCCCAAACCATAAACCATAAACGCGGAACCCGAAACCCTAAACCCAACCCTTATATTGCTTGCAGACTCACCATGCTCACGCAGATGCGCTGGGCCGGGCCGAAGCGGGTCGCGTAGCGTGAAAATTAGCCACATTGGCGCTTGAAAGCATTGCGTTTGCCCAATGCTTCTTAGGTGGATCTCAGCAGCTGACAACTCCTCGAGGTCGAGTTTGCCATCCCCGCTCCGATCCAGGTCGCGAAACTTTTGCTTCACTGCCTGAGCACGGTTGCCTACCTTTTTGTTCATCCTTGGCAAAAAATCTCTGGAACGCATCAACCCATGTGCCACCTTGCACGCCTTTCGTCTTCCACGAGGCATGATGCACTCGAACAATGGATCCCCTACATGCCCACAGCGAGTGTGGGCGTTGTGATTGGTTTACGTAGGAACTGAAACGTGTCACTTGTTTTTGGGGCTGTACTGACATGTTGCAAACTGCCCATCTTGTCATGTACCCTTTCAGAAATCTGTCGCGGACCTGCATCATGGACGGAGCCAACTCATGCACCACATTGCAAACAACAAATCGACAGACATCCTCGGCATTTTTCACATTGCGTGGGGTTTCCCTGCATTCGGCAAAGCGTGGCCTTAATTGACGTGCATGCAAGAGCACTAGCTAGTTTCCGTGCACTGGGTCGTATCGCATGTGGAAGCGACCAGCCACAGCATCCCGTTCGCATCAGGGTTTCGGAGGTTCTGCCCGCACTTGGTCTCCTCGCCACACATGTTGATGTTGACGTGCGAGGTTTGAAAAAACAACACGATGGCCGCGGTGCCT